CACTGATGAGTTGCAAGCTACTTCCTAGCTCGCTCGTCATGATTGTTTGATCACTTTTTTGATCGACACACAAGAAACGCAGTAGGAGACGGTTTAGCTGGCGATGTACTTGAATTTCTGCTTAGTAGTAGGGATAGAAATGAGAGTAGACACTGGTTCGAGGAATTGAAGAGGAGCGGTAGCTCGCGTACGAGTTCGACCTCAGCAAGTCCATTTGTCGCAATGCCTGGTTCAGCTTGCTGGACAACTGACTGTATTCGGTACGCAGCTAAACATAAATTCATACTAACCACATTTTTTGAGTTGTGCTTGTTTAGTGATCAATTCGCTGGCTATTTGAAGGGGAAGAGAACTCCGTTGGCTGTTTTGTACTAAGCAAAAATCTTCATGAACTAGAGCAATGTGGTTAACAAAGAATTGCTCGACTGCGAAATGAGGAAGGAAAGAGACAAAATTCTAGGGGGTATCTATCATTACGCTTGTGGATGACCTACTGGCTGGGTTCAAACGGAAATCTTTTGCTCGTTCAAAATTCTTGTTTGTGAAATGAATAAACTTGCATAGTTGTTTATGTTTAGAGTAAATAAGCGATAAACTGCCACCCGTAGGCCTTGCACACTACTTTTAGCAAGAAAAGGCTACCAAAATTATAAGGAGAGGCTGAGTTGGAGGCAGATTTGTAATAAATTTATCGAGACGTTTTATTGATGTGATTCAATGGAATTACATCTTGATTATATCGGCGGTTCTCTCCCCCTTTTAAGCAGCTCAATCTGAAATGCGAATGCAAGAAGGCCTCACAAAGGAAAAATAGTTAGTCGAAGGTGCAGCTCAAAACATAATACATACTAGTCGATGCAATTTAAAGCGCTGATTTCAAATCTGTCTTCGATTTGTACTAAGCAATTTTCTGAAAGAATTATAGGTTTTTCTGCTTTCATAGATAACTTGGAAAAACTATGACAAATGCTTAAAAGTTTAACTTTGACCCAAAACGGTAACGCCGCGTTTATCAAATGATAACTCCTTGCATCGTTGTTTTTGGTCGAATATAACATTTTTAAGCATTATCAACAGGTGGAAGATCTTTTTTGTGGAAGCAAAAAAATTTCATAATTTTTTTCGGAGAAACTCTTTACGAAAAACAGATTTGGAATCAGTACGGACTGCATCTACCAGTATATATCTCTTGTTGAATTGCCAATTCGACTAAATATCCTTCTCTTGTCAGAACTGCACTTTTTAACAGCGTTTAAGTGGAATGAAATGCTGCATTTTGCCTAGCTTATTGATCACATCCTGATTATTCTAAATAACCACGAGCAACGCGCTCACCCTGTCCTTGTTTATCAATTCACGGGATAGTGATCTTTCCAGTTGACCGATGCGGCCCTGAAAAACGGGGATCTTCGGCAAAACTCCAGAATTTCCGCACTTAACATTGGACAAGAGCGTTTTGAGAAAAGAACTTTGATTCTTTGCAATTGGCTTTTTAATTATAGGAGTCTGCAGGTATTTTGCAGTGTCCAAAAAAGCTACTAAGCATTGAAGAAATAACAACGTATTGATTTGCTGGATAGTGGTGACTATCTCTTATTTTGACAGCCGGCTGGGAGAACTTTGATACATTAGTAATAGAGAGCACTTATACCCGAGCAAATATGACTGCGATGATCTTCATTTGAAGAAATAGCACCGCGGAAAATGGATGCATAATGATATTCATATTCAGAGTTCCAGAGTCTGCTTATATAGTGTTTTATTGTACCTTTTTCGGAAGAACGTTAGGAAAGCGCTTCTTGTTAGTGGTGGATGTTGTGAGAGACATTACTATAAGCCGTAGCCTAGTAGTTTGTTTCGATTAGTAGAGGCTGTGAAGCTTAAGCAGGAAGCTCCTAAACTACCATAATTTGTCTATCTTATCACATCTCGTCCACTTCTTAACTACCAATCGGATGACATTATAACAGCGACAAAACGATATTTGAATGCGGTGTGCGAGTGCAGAAAAAGTCAACGTCAACAAATATTTCTTTGCACGACATGCTGACACTACACTTGTGAACGGTAAAAACGAAACTTGACAGGACGCGACGTTTGCTGTGATTTGTGGATAACTCATCAGATTATCTCGCAAAGCAGGTAAAAATGTGCACTTACCTCATACATGCTCATTATCATCGGTGTTGTGTCGTACTGATACCTTTTAAGACGACGAGTGGTGTCGGTGTCAATATAAGATGGTGACGAGTTGTAGCTCTAAATTTAATTTCAATGAAGTTTTAGGATTGACTAGAAAAGCTAAGACAAAGAAGACCGTGCGTTAACTGAGAAAAATGCAAATAGCGGCTTTAATCATATAGGGTGTTCCAAAAAGTGATTTCGGTCGTTTAACTTCTTATTTCCAAATCTTTTCCAGGCTACTTGTTCATGATGAACATTTAGGTTTAGGAGGATTGCGATCACATCTTTTTAGGACACTCTGTTCGAAGGTCAAAGCACGTCGCCTCTTTCCCAATGCCACCCTTGCTAGAAGGATTTACAGCTGGAACCCTTTCTCTTTTTGCTGGTAGCTGATTCCGCAGGGAAGGTAAGAATGGTAAAGGAAAAACTTTTGTAGTCATGCAAGTGCTTATTCTACGTTTTCTACCTGAATCCTACTGACTACAGAATTGAATATAACGCATTAAAATGTAGCTACCGTGTAACCGCTCATAGTTGAATATCCTCCAGGCCGAGAAGATGAGCGGTAACGATCATACGTGGATGGCATCTGAAGAGGGCTGCCAAGTGAAATGAAATCTGTGGTTATCAGTAGTGTCATACCTCGTACTCGTATGGAGTGTGCATATCACGTATGTAACTGTCCACACGAGATAGACGACCGGCTCCCATGTACATGTCAGGTCGGGAGCTAAATTTTACCAAATAGCTCCACTATTTCATTGGTTGGAGAAGCCCTAACCTGGTACGGGAGAGGGGAGTGTCATAGATTGAGGTGCGAGAAGCATTGCGGGACAGCTCGCCATTTTTAGCGCCGGAATACTCCAGGAAGGAGATAAATGAACCACTTCGTGATGGTGGTCTGCTGTATTCACGCGATGGAGGTGTCGAGTATTCACGAGTACGTTGGGGAGCTGGGTACTGCGATGTGTATCTGAAATTTGCAGTAGACTTTTCAAAATCTCACCAAAGAGTGTGTTTGCTTATATGTGCAAATAAATAGCAAAGCAATTCAAACAAATAGTTGCTGCTGCTCGATTAGTCAATGATGTAGCCCAACTAAAAGTAGCACTACTACACTCTAACTCAGGCACACTATTTTCTAGTGTACAATTTAATTTGCGAATCGTACTATACGAAGCGCTTACGAGTCGAGAAGATATCTGGAACAGTAGAGTAAACGACATTGTCCAGAACACGAAGGACCTTGCCTGAATTCAATCAAGTCACCTGTAGTAATTAGATGCGGATCTTTGCGATCGCATCGCTTGACGACGTTCACGGGTACGACTACGCGATCGCTCAATCAGCCTTGTGGTTGAGTAAAGCGCGGAAGAGAAAGGTCCTGGAGTATTTTAACTCAAAACTCGATGGAAAAAATATCAACAGATTTAAGATGCAAAACTGCGTACCTGTATTGACGATGTCGTCGAATTGACTTGTATAGGTGCTATTCGGGCGATAGGTAGAAGTGGCAGTGTATTCATTTCGATATTTATAGGAATTAGAGATGAAGGGGCTGAATTTTGTTGGGAAAAGGACATTAATGGTAGATGAAAACAAATTTGAAGCTACCTAACGGGAGTGTATGTTAGTTTATCTGGTGGGCTCCACGAGGAGAACGACGTTGCGGTTGGAATTCGCGGTGGAGGTACATGGCGATGGGAATCCTTAACACATAATGTTTGAAGTATGAGAATCTGTCATTCTACTCATTCGCATACCTGATCGTAGCTGACGTAGTCACGAGCAGGGCGTCGTTCTGGTGAAGGAGATGTTGGCCTAGCAGCACGACGTGGAGGTGGTGAAGGTGAAGCGGCTCGTGCACGAGTTGGTGAAGGCTCTGCCTTTGCTTCTTCTGCAGGAGGCTCAGAGGTTACTTCAATTACCCTCTCCTTAAATAGGTTTCTCATTGATTTTTTAGAGTTGACTAAAAAACCTCTCACCGGTGGAGGCACTTCCTCTTGTTGTTCTTCTGGGGCTTCGTCAGCCGCAGCTTTTTCGACTTCTTGGTCTTCTGGAACTGGCTCCTCGGCAGGAGCCTCTTCTGTTGCTGCCGTTTCTTCCTGATTGACTTCGTGCTGCTCTGATTCCGCCTCAGCTGCTGGTGCCTCCTCAAGAACAGCTTCCTCGTGCTCAGCTTCAGCTGGAGCCTCCTCTTTCACCGGCTCTTCCTCGACATGCTCAACCTCTTCTTTGCTAAAATAATGACATATCCTAAGATTGTTATGGATTAACGAAAAAACTTACTGAGCCTTTCCCTTTTTGCCCTTTTTCCCCTTTCTAGGACTTTTTGTAGGTGATGATGGAGCTTCCGAATCTGCTTTGGGAGTGGCGGGAGTTTCTTCAAAACTGAAGGCAACTGTTGATTTCGGCGTTCCCGTAGCCTTTGGTGTAGCTAGTGACGCGGGGGTTGAAATTTTCGGACTGAAACTACGGTGCTATTCTACTCTACGATCTAAAAGCTGCTTTCTCTACGGTTATAGCAGACTATTTTTCTAGACAGAAAAGGATGAGTGTTAATGAGCCAAGCAAATCATACGTTTCAACT